AGCAGAACTGAGGCGAACACATGTGGTGTGGGAGTGGGCGGAAAGGGGGCAGGAGTGGGGGTTGACGGGCGGAGGCAACTTCCTCCTGCGCTGCCAACTGTGTGGGGAGGTGTTCACGGGTTCGAGGTCCAGAGCAGTCGAGCACTTCGCGAAACCGAAGGCACACTGCCCCCGACGGAATGGGGAGATTTTGTATAGACTGCAAGCGGCTGGTGCTTTGTTGAGGGATGCATTGTCACTCAGACTGGCTGCTGAGCACGGAGACAGGATGGATGGAGAGCTTGTCGCCGAGGACCTGCGGGAGTTGGACGAGCCATGTGACCCGGTGCGGAATTGTGCAGGAGGAGTTGGAGACGGTGATCGTGGTGAGGGTGGTACACAGCAGGGGCAGGATGCCGGGACTGTGACAGATGAGTTGCGAGGCGTTGAAGGTGTTGGAGATGGTGGAGGGGATGGAGGGGGAGCTCGGGTTACTGGCACAACGGCCACCACCTCCACACAGGTGGTGCCGAGGAGGAGACAGACGACCCTAGATATTCATCTAGGGAGCAAGGTCCAACAGGATCTTGATCGTCTGTTGGCCCTTGCTATCTATCGAGGTGGAGTGCCCTTCAACTGGTTGCGGTTGAAGGAGACGCAAGGCAGACGTATGGGAGGGAGTCGTCAGAGATGACATTGGCATTGACAAAGTGAATGCCATCTGCACCGACAACGCAAAAGTGATGAAGACAGCAGCCGGCATCTTGCAGTCACACCCCGACCCGGCTATGCGTCGCATACCTTGGATCTCGTGTGCAGCACATTGCTTGAGCTTGCTGCTCAGGGACATTGCGTCGCAGCCTTGGGCGGCCACTGTCATGAAGAAGGTGCACAAGTTAGTCAAGTTCATGCGCAACAAACAGCGAGCCCTAGCACTTCACAAGGCCATGAGGAACGTGCTAGTATTGAAGCGACCAGCGAAGACACGATTTGGGACAGCGTTCATGATGCTGGAGAGGCTATATGAGCAGAGGGGTGTGTTAGACAAGCTCGTGTCAGGGGAGTTGTGGGCGCAGGTGCGGTGGACTAGGGATGCGAGGAGGGATGAGCCCGAGGTGCACAGGATGTGTAGAGACGAGTCTTGGTGGGAGAGGGTGAAGATGGTCGTGGACGTCATGCCCCCGTGCTACAGGTTCCTCAGGGGTATGGACAGGGATGGGTCACCACCCACAGGATTGTGGGATTTGGAGAGCATACTGCGGGGGAGGGTCAGGGGCCTTGGACTGACAGAGGATGAGAGGAGGGCGATCATGGATATCATATCCGACAGATGCAGGATGATGTGTCAGCCTGCCCATGCGGCTGCTTATCTGTTGGATCCTCGGCGTCGTGATATCTCGTTGCTGACGGACCGCAGCAGCCCAGTCGTGCAGAGCGCGCTAAACCACTTGGCTCGCTGTCAGGGTGCAGGTTGGGAGTCTGATTCTTTGCATAAGCTTTGGCAGGCATTGTGGACTTTCCATTGCGAGGACCCTCACTATTGGCCGAAGAGTGGAGCGCACTGGTGGGACGAGTTTGCGGTGAAGGACGCGGCGGAGGGGGGGATGCATGCAGCGATGTGGTGGGAGCTTCACGGTGGTCAGGAACCGAGACTGCAGACGATTGCGAAGAGGGTTTTGGGTATGTGGTCCACGGCCAGTCCTTGCGAGAGGAACTGGTCCACCCACGATTTCATCCACACGAAGAGGAGGAACTGCCTTTCTGCAGAGAGTGTCGAGAAGCTGGTTTTCATTCACTGGAACTTGCAGTTCCTCAGTCCCAGCAGGAGGACGGACAGGCGGTACATTGATGTGTGGGAGGACCAGGTGGAGGACCCCGCGGAGGAGATCGATGGTGACGACAGTGTCCCCGCAGAGGTGCCAGAGGAGGAGTGGGAGGAGATCGACAGGAGGAACAGGAGGAAGGAGGGCCGTAATCGATTTGGGAAGGGGAAGGCACCGATGGAGGATGAGGATGAGGATGAGGAGGGTGATGAGGCCCTTTGGCAGGATGCGGTGTGGATGCACAGAGAGATGATGGAGGCGCAGCAAGAGCGGAGAGACGCAGGTCGTACGTTGCCTAAGGACCAGCATGACTTATTGAACGAGTGGGTTGGAGCGGACCCTCACACCGATATCGACGCCTACATCGTGCAGAGTGTGGATACCGTGAGGAGTCTACGGGGGAGGGTTGGGGGTCAACTAGATTTGGAGGAGCTTTTGATCGGGGATGGCGAGGCAAGCAGCACAGAGGTAGGGCAGGAGGAGGAGAAAGGTCAACACATTCCACATTCGTCGATTGCCGGAGAGGGAGGACATATAGGGGGTGTTCCAGTTGATGCACGTACGTCGACTCCTGCAGCACCCCATCACGCTGCTGAGAGGATTCTGCGAGGGGCAGAGGAGATGATTGGGAGGGAGGGTCATCATGCGGATGAGAGGCTGGAGGACACACACCACGTGCGCCAGGTCGCTGAGCAGGTTGTACATCAAGGCAGCGGTTCACAGAGCATCACTCAGTCGGTTGTCCAGAGGGTCGTGCTACGTGGCGGGGATGGTGATGGACTGGTGGCGGGCGGAGGTGGAGAGCATAGGGTCAGTGACGTCATTCGTCCTACAGTGGTTCAGACCTCGGAGCAGAGGATTGGTTGTGCTTCCTCAGCGCACGTGAGCCAGAGGGTGGATGACAGGGCGGACCCATTACCAGCGTCTGTCGCAGAGCTTGGTGCGGAGCAGAGGGTGGAGCAGAGGGTAGATGAGATGGTGCAGGACAGGGCGGAGCAGAGGGCTGACCAGAGGATTGAACACCGGAGAGAGCGGAGGGATGGACAGCTTGGAGGTTCAGGTAGACGTTACCATGGACGAGAGCGTAGTTCAACGGATGGAGGACAGGGGCTGCGAGAGGAGGGGTGTAGCATCTACACGCGAGAGTATGATCCAGAGTGAGGGTGCTCAGGTTGCTACAGAGGGGGGGGGCGGGAGGGAGAGTGATGTTAGACTGCCGACTGCCTCATTCTATGGGATTCCGCCCATGCCCACACGCGCCACACCATCACCCGATGCAGCAAGTGTTCATCTTCTCGGCAGGTCGACGACAGTTGGACGTCATGGTGGTGGCACTTCATCTCCCGCAGTGTCCCCTTGCAGTTCCCTACACCAACCCCCATCGGTGACTTTGAGACGCCCGGCTGAGCACGCGAGTCGAGCATCCACTTCGTCAGCGGCGTCTGCCCCTCCTGTGCGTAGTCCATTAGGCATGCCACCGCTCCCTGCACGACTTCCATCAGCCATTGTTGATAATGTGAAGACAAGTCGTGCAGGCAGGAAGAGGAGGAGGGAGGATGACGGAGGCGCATTACCACCTCCTCCACGATCGCCAGGTGGCACAGGCAAACCTCGTGGTCGCCCGCGAGGCTCAGGATCAGGCAGGGGTCGAGGCAGGGGTCGTGATTCATGGGTGATGAGTGCATTGGGGGCAGACGACGCGGATGAGGACGATGTTGGGCAGGGCACCACTGCATGCACTGATGTGACGGTGGGTGTTTGCACGAGGTCTCAGGCCTCGAGTGGAGTTCGCAGTACTAAATCCACTCGTATCATTGATGACGATTCAGATGCCGCCTCAAGTGATGGCCTTTCTGGTAGTGACTACGTGGATGAGAGGGATAGTGAGACTCGTGCCCGGGGAGAGGACCAGAGTGGACATGACGATAGCTCAGATGGTAATGGGCACGAGGAGGACTAGAGGGATGTTCACTACTGAGCTGAGGGATGTGTTCTGTCATCGATGGTTGTAGCATGGAACTTGGGTTTTGATGTTTCAATTTCGTGTATCTGTGACTGACATTGATGACCTTGTCTTCATACGATGCGTGCACTGTTGGCCTGTCATCGAGTCAATATCTCGTGTATGTGTGTGTGAAATTGCTAGTCAGTCAGTTGGTTTAGCCCCTAGGGTAAGGTCATCGTCACT